GAGGCTCGTCCGCCTCCCTTCGCCCTCCTGCCCGAGGTGCTGCCGTGCGCCGTGCTCTGACACAGCATCCTAAAGGTCTTTTCCCAACTGAACGGCTCTGCGACACCCAGTACTGTGCTGAGTGTCTGGTATCGCCCCAAAGTGGGCTTTTCTGTCAACTCTGCGGTCTCAAAGTTGTCACCTTTGCAGGCAGAAGGTGTTTAGGGTTCGTTTCCTTTGCTAAGGAAGGAAATCATCTCCTCAGTTCCAGTTGCTCGTTGATGAGTTGCCTGGTTTTATTACCGATGTCCCAGAACCTGAGATACGCCTCGCAAAGGGTGTTGTTTCCATAGATTGAGCTGTACAGGTAGTATCGCTTCTCTTGTATCAGCAGGGAAATTTGCAGTGCTGGGCCGTGGTTCCCCACCTTCCTTATCTGTGGGCACCAGAAGTGAGCAAGGAAATGCTTTTTTTTATACGATAACGTCAGGCTGTTGGTCTCAGTTTTGTCTCTTACCTTCTGCATATGTAAGAAGGTGATAATAATCATGATTGGGGAGCTGATCCTGTGCTTAGGAAGGTGCTGCCCAAAGGATTTGTTTGAACAGATCCTATCCTATTTAACACCTACAGCGCTGGCTTGGCTACAATCCTAAACTGCCAAGCGATCTTCATGCCCTTTGTCTTTCACCTTTTCTTGGACTGATTTTTTTATTTATTTTTTTTTTTTTAGTGCTTGCCCCACAAGCTGTGGAGCACAATGAAATTCAGCATATTTTAACAAATTAGTAGAGATTAAGCCAGTCAAGCTTCCTAGTGCTATACTCACCCTGTGCTGTTCTTAGTGCTTTTAATGTTCTCATCACTCTGGTTTCTACAAGTCTTGTCTGCAGCTGAACTATTTCTATTCCTATTTCTGCTGAAGTTTTCATTTTTTGGGGGCGTTTGTTTTGGTTGAATTCCAAAACTTGATTTGCATTGTTAGGTTTGAGTTTTGGATGGAAGGTTAGGAAATTGCAGCTTGTGTGGCTGTTGAACCTACACTTTTTGGTGATTGGACTCTTCAATATTATTCTGATCAGCATAAAAAAAATTACTTCTTATTTATCGTTTTAAAAAAAGTTAAAGTACTCCATGCTTCAAGATGTATTTGGAGCTACAATTAGAAAATTCGTAGGGCTCTAAAATTTCTTGATGGAGCGTTAAATGTTTTCTGTAGAGAATAAGAAGTATAACCTGGAAACCTTCTTTCTAAACGCCTTCCTGTGCTAGATAAATTGAAGCTTGGAAGCATTTGAGAGCTGACCTTCCTGTAGCCAAAGCCTAGATGGATTTTGTTAGGATTGCCTAGCACTAGGGACTAGCAGAAGGGTGCTGGTTTACAGCCAGCCCCTGACATCTGCTGGTGTCTGTTGCCCTGTTTTGTTGACGGTAGCCAAGAACTCCATCCCTGTCTCCCAGTGCTGGTCGTGCAGTAGTCAGGGGTGTCACTCTTCGGTTCCAGACCTGGAGAGTGTGTGGAACAGCTTTATTTTCCTGTGCTTAACAGTTGATCTGATAAAAGATAGGAGAACAGCAAGATTATCCCCTGAATGAAGCTCTTTGTGAAGCGAGGAACTGAGTTGGTTTAGAGCTTGGGTGTTTTCCTGGGTGGGAATTGAAGGAACCTTTTTCCCCCCCCTCGCAGACCCCTTTGCTGATGCAACAAAGGGTGACGACTTACTCCCGGCGGGGACTGAGGATTACATCCACATCAGGATCCAGCAGCGGAACGGCAGGAAGACCCTCACCACTGTCCAGGGCATTGCCGATGACTATGACAAGAAGAAACTTGTGAAGGCTTTCAAAAAGGTGAACTACGGTGTGATAATAAAGATACTGTGTAAAGGGGTGTGGTAGTTTTTAATGCTAACAGTCTTTGCTTGATTTAATTCTTGCCAGTGCGCATCGTTTTCACAGTCAGGTGAAATAATTTCCTTTCCTTTTGTGAAGTGAGACAATTATCTGCTAGTTTAGAGCTTGAGTGTTTTCCTTTGTAGGGATTAAATGCTTCTTTTTCATCCTGCATATCCCTTTGTTGATGGAACAATAAGTGACAACTTCATGTCTTTCTCAGAACTCCTAGCAGGGTTTGGCAACACTGATTTTTGCTAAAAAGTTACACATTTCTTCCCTATAAAGAAGTAAATAAAATGCATTCTGAATGTTTCATTTAAAATGTCACAGATACCTGGCTTTGTTTGTGGGAAGAATAGTCAGTTTAAAGTAGAACTGGGTTTGCATTCTGCTTCTCTAATAGCTGAGTTGCTGTTGAAAATAGAAGTTTTGAGTTTCACCAGGATGAAAATACTTATTTTAAAGTATCATGGGGTTGAAAGGCTGTATCTTAGGACTTTGTTTTCTCTTCTTATAACGAGCATTGGCCAGTTCCTTCTGCACAGTTGCTAATCCTCTCTATGCCCGAGTTTGCCATCAGCAGCTTCATTTGTCTGTGTGGATCAGAAAATACATTCTAGTTGCTCTCAAGAAGTGTGAAATGGGTTTAGGCTTTGCCTTGCTTGGCCCTGGAATGCAGCAGGCAGCTTGGGTGAGGCTGAGCAGGGCTGTCCTGCACGTGGGGTGTCTGACATGGGCCTGTCTCCCCCTAGAAATTCGCTTGTAACGGCACCGTGATCGAGCACCCCGAGTACGGAGAAGTTATCCAGCTGCAGGGGGACCAGAGGAAGAACATCTGCCAGTTCCTCCTGGAGGTGAGGGGCTGCACATAAACATCTAAAGCTCTCTAGAAGCAGGGGAAGGTGGCCACTGTAATGCCTTTGTATTTTCAGCCAGAAAGTAAAGTAAAATGAAGCTTGTTGAGTGTTAACCTCCAGTAAGAGTCAAAGCCCTGTAGGATGCATTTGCTCTGCTGCAACATCCCACTTGCTCTCTGACAAGGCAGCTTGAGTGCTTCATTTGTGAAATCAAGTGTTTGATGCAAACCATGAGCTGGAGACTGAAAGCACTAGAGAAGGAAGAGGCTCGCTGGTGGAAGTCGTGATGCAGGGGTGGTAGGCTGGCAGAGAACAAGTGCTGGGGCTTGTCAGATGTGTGAGCAAATGTTCTGTTTGTGTACTCAGTTCTGCTTGGCCCACAAACATCCTGGGAAGTAGAAAACTGCTTTCAGTGTATGCTGTATTGCAGTTTCTTTTAATCAGAAGTATAAGATTGTAAGTGCTGATGCTTGCTAGCACTGTGATACCCTAAGCATGAGCCCTTCACTGATTATGTTGCTTTTCTCCTCTAGATTGGCATCGTCAAAGAAGAACAGCTGAAAGTTCATGGCTTCTAAAATCCCTGTGCTCTGATGAAGAACCCTGCAGTGGTTGGTCTTCCCTAGCCTGGCTCCTCTGTGAAAAATGAATCTTTGCAGTGAATGGACTTCCCTGTTACCTGAATACTTAAAATTTTATCCAGATTTGCATGGCTGTGTGAAATGTGTGGTGTGTAGGCTAGAAACACATAAGAAAACCTCAGTAAGGTGGTCATGAGGACACGTGTGAACGTGAACACATTTCCAATGGAAATGTTTTAGTGATGATTGTTCAGTTTAGTACTCTCCACCTGACTTAAACCTGTGGGTTGTATTAAATAGTGTGTTGTTGTTGCTTAAAAATAAAAGTTTATTCACCTACTTTCTGGGATATCTGAAATGCTTTAGCTCAAGTTTTAAACTAGCACAGCAGCCTTACTAAAGAATGGCTGGGCTATTTTGTGGCAAGTGTAGCTCACTGCTGATTGAATAAATTGGAAAATCAACACAATGAAGTATTAGCTAATTAATCAGTAGATCAGCTTGATGATCACTGATCAGTTTCATCTCCTCCTGTAGCTTTAAAGACTTTTGTGTAGGTGTATCTTAGTAGGAGCATGATTAGACATTAATTGTTTGCTAAGTAACTGGATCTTCTCTGAAACTGCTGCAGTGACTATGAAGTGTTAGTGTTGAGCATTCCAAGACTGGAATAAGCTGAACTCCCCAAGGATGCTGTTGCTGAGGATCACATCTAGAGCTTATGTAGTCACAGTACTCCCAGAACTTTGGGAGGAAGTGAACAGGACTGTGTCCCTCCTGCCACCGAGGGCAGGAGATGTTGAGCTGGCAGTGAGAGCTGCAGAGGGCAGGGAGGGGACAGGCTCTGCACCAGACTCTCTCTTCCTGGTGTGAAAGGCTTTGCTGTGATTAAGGGTGAATCAGGAGGGCTGTGAGGACAGACAGCTGACTGGTCAGCCTTTCTAACAGGCAGTTCATTGGGTGTTACCTGAAGTTCCAACAGCTCTGCCCACCCTGCTTTGCACCTCGTTGGAGCTGGCTGTAGGCATTTGGTGTTAGGCTTTTAAGAGCTGTCTCTCTGCAGAATGAAATGACTTCATTTGGTGAAACGTGCAGATCTTATCAGCCTTGTGAGAGAGAGGTGGAAGGTTGCTGTGAAATGATTGAAAATATGCTGAGCTGGGAAACTGAGAATAATGAGAAATATTAGTACCATGCCTCCTTCTTCCTTTCCAGAGAATACATTTTTTTACTGCAAAGATTTATTAGTAACTTAGGAAAAAGACTGATGACTAACTAATTAAACACCAAGAATAGACAAAACTATACTGCTTAATATCACCCATGCCTATACTTTGTCTCCTGTTCAGACCTGTGTTTCTAAGCAAAAATGCTCAATTTTAATTTTTTTTTTCATTTTATTATTATATTTCTGAATTCAGATATGAACCCTTATGGTACTAGCAACAATTAGGCAAACATTACAGAGCATTCATATGACAATTTTTTTCTCTATCTGGTCTAGACAATCCTACCTGTAAGACTCCAGTGTCCAGTCTCTCAGTCTCCACAGATCTTAGCTGTTCCAGAGTAAAGGATGTGCCAGAAGATTTGCTTACTGTTAAGGTACAATGTGTTCAAGAGGAGGAGGAGGAGGGAATGCCTGCTGCCAACCATGAAGTACCAGCACACAGAACAAACCCCCCCAGGATAAGTCTTGCACAGTAGCAGAATAAAATCATTCTACTGCAACTTCACCCCAATTCAGAGATGCTGAAGTAATGAATCCTTTCTGGGTACATGGCACTTAGGGAGTTTCTTTTTATCCACTGCCCCAAAAACTGATGCTCTCATTTAAAGCTTGTTCTGCCTGAGAAGTAAAACCAAGCAGCATCTTCTGTTTCACTGGTATTACTTGAGTACTTCCAGTGGCTTTTTAAGGGGAGATGAGCAAATTATTAGCAATTCTCATGTGTTAACTGAGTCAGTCTTCATTTCAGATGGCATTCCATTATTTTTTCCCCTCCCTAAGCTTGAGTCACTCCTCTATAGTCATTCTACTTGGAATAAGTAAGAAAAACCTTTGTTTTCTTCCTCATTTATAGTCCTTTCTTGCACTTGATACATTGGTTTTGTCCTCTGGTGGAGCTTCTTTGACCTTTCAAAGGCAAAACCAAGGAGAGAGTGAATAAGAAGTAACACACTGGGAGTTTAAATAGCTTTGATATTTTGTAGCAACAATTTAATCACTCTAGAAGCAAAGAAAGTTTTTGTCCTTGAAGTGATTTAAACCAAAACAGCATCTGGGTAGGATTGTCACTGGCTTTGTTACAAGCCCAAGTCTCTGGATGTTGGAGAGGAAAGGGCTCAACAATTTTGTGGTGAGGTTTAGTCATTGAGGCCTGCAGGGTGCCTGCTGCCTCTGGCCAGGTGAGTTACCAGGCCCTGGACTTTCACCTGTGCTCTAAGTGACCACGTGTGGCAGGGGGAGCGTGGGGAGCACAGCCCTGGGCAGCAGCTGCCTCAGGGGAAAGAGCTTCATGCCTTTTGGTCCCAGGGGACATTCAAACCCCAATAATAATCCCAGCATCTGCTGCCTGTCTGTGGTGGGTTGTTTCAGGAGCAGGTCTTGGCCTCTGTGGGAGCATTGCTGGACAGCTGGGACAACAAAGCCTTTGGAAATAAAACGTGCCAGTGTTATTTTATGGGTGCTTTTCCAAAGCAAGTGGACTTCTGTGCCCTTATTAAGGAGGGTTTGTTTTACTGAAGGAAGATTTAATTAGCATAATTGAATAGTGATGTATGTGGCCCTCTTGTAATCAGCTCTGATTTCTTCAAGAAATATTCTATTTCCTCTTCTGAATTTCTGCCATAATCTGTGCTGACCAACTTAACAATACTGTGGTTTGTACTGAGGTCCCCTAACCCTAAAACAGGGGGGTAGAATGGCTTGGGGTCTAAACATTGGGTGGAAGAGGATCATCCAGTTCCAGTATGTTTTAAGGTGAAGCCAGTAACGTGTGCTCAAGTTTGGTCTTGGCTATTTTACAACATCTCATATCTGTGAAACGTGGCAGCACATTTCTGAAATTAACTTGGGGCCTGATTAAAAGCATTAGTGTATATAATAAATGTGCTTTTTTTTCATTTTAAGCCATGTTTGCTATGATTATGTGGCAAAAAAACTAAGCCATGATCCAGGCTGATGGTTGTGAGTGTCTGAATTGAGCAGGGTGGTTGTGTCAGGGGGTTGAGCAGGGGGGTTGGATTAGATGACCTTGAAAGGTCCCTTCCCACCCAAACCCTTCTGTGGAATTGGTGGTTGGACTTGATTTAGAGGGCTTTTTCAACCTTAATGAGTAGCAATGAGTCAACAGTAGATCAGGAAGTAGTACAGGAAGCCACTTGCTTGCTGCTTTGGCCTCAAAGTGTTTGCATCTTGAAGACTTTTTCCCTTTTCCTGTGCTTTGTGTGCTCACGTTCTCTGTGCCAGAGGGTCAGTCAGTGCCACGTGTGTCACTGCTCCATGAGACCCACCCGAACACAGGAGCTGAGTGGGCCTTGGGCATGATGCCTCAGTCCCACCAGACAAACAAGGGCCTCCTCCCTCATCTTCTGGCAGTCATTCTTCAGCCAGGGGCTTATTTCAGATCCACAGGCTTGTGCCCACAGGGTGGTGGGCATTTTACAGATAGTTAGGGGGAAACTACAACAAAAGGTTTTTAGAAATACAGATTCTCCAGTGAGGAAAAAAAATATATTAAGGGGGTGGGAAATAGGGAACTCCTGGCCTTTTTTTTTTTTTTTGAAAGCAATTAAATGATTAATTTCTATTAAACCAGTTTTCTCAGCTTAAGATCTATCAGTTTTGAAGGCTGCTTTTGTCGTGGCCAGCTGGCTGTTCCCAGTCTGCATCCCTAGGTGTCACTGGAGGAGCACCTGCTGAAGGCAGGAGGAGGGCTGTAGAGCTTACACGGGGGGATGAATGCAGCAGGGACAACGTGCTAACATTCTAGGGGGAAACTACAACAAAAGGTTTTTAGAAATACAGATTCTCCAGTGAGGAAAAAAAATATATTAAGGGGGTGGGAAATAGGGAACCCCCTGCCTTTTTTTTTTTTTTTTGAAAGCAATTAAATGATTAATTTCTATTAAACCAGTTTTCTCAGCTTAAGATCTATCAGTTTTGAAGGCTGCTTTTGTCGTGGCCAGCTGGCTGTTCCCAGTCTGCATCCCTAGGTGTCACTGGAGGAGCACCTGCTGAAGGCAGGAGGAGGGCTGTAGAGCTTACACGGGGGGATGAATGCAGCAGGGACAACGTGCTAACATTCTGGGCATAACCTGTGTGATGGGGTACCCCAAATTTCCTCCACCTGAGAGAGCCAGGGCCAGGATTCTGCCCTTGGGTGGCACCTTCCCCGTGGAGGCTGCACCTCACCAACTGCTCACAGCTCTGCATGTGCTTGGGGTGAGGAGTGGGCTGGAGAGGAGCTGGAACAGGAAACAGCTCCAGGGAAGCAGCATGAAGGAGCCATCTGAGAAGATGGAGAACTCAGTCAGTGCCTTGGGGGATCCAGAGCTTGTAGAGATGATGTTCTCCAGTGCCAGTGTGTGAGTGGGTCTGGGTCTGAGCTGTGCCTGGGCACTGGGCTGTGAGAGCTGACAGCCTGTTAGAGCTAGGCTCCTCAGACTCCCTGGGGACTCCAGTGTCCTGTTCAGGAAAGGAGGCAGAAGCCAGATTTTAACATCTGTAGGATCAAAACTATAACCAGCTTTTATTCCATCAGTTCTAGAAGAGAAACGTGCTCTGGTTTGGGAAGCACTGGGAGGTGCTGGTGGGACTTTGGTAAGGAGGGGTAGAAGCTGTCACCCTGTGACCTTCCAGGCAGTGAGTTCTTGCCCAAGCTGAGACTGTACAGAGCATAACCTGCAGTGCAGCTCTGGGCTGGGGTGCTGGCCTGAGCCAGGAACAGGCTTCCTCTTGCCCTTAGCAGGGCTCAGGTGAGTAAAGTGAGCTC